AATACAATATAAATTCACGTCTCGCGCACTTTAATGCCCTTTGAATGTAACGTGTACGTTCCCTTGGAACTGGAATCATGGCGGAATTTCATGCGAAGTCCACTTCACAGGGCACTTGCGGTCGAATAAGACAACGCGTGAATGCTGCCTGAACAAAAGATCCTTACTGAAGGGAAAATGTTAACTCGTGTCACTATCTCGCGAACGCGCCGGCGGATCTCCTCCAAATTCGGGGGATCCCTTCAGCTCGAGGAGCCCTCTCGAACGCCACCCACTGCGCGTCGGTAGCCCCCCGGGATCACTAGATCGGTCGGTGCCGGACCGCGAATTTAACCATCCGTAACTCCCGAACCCAGGGGGCTATCGACGCGGGGGTAGTCTCATTCGAAAGAGGGCCTCTAGACGTACACTCGATTCGCGTTTGAGAGGGTTCCTCGAGCTGAAGGGATCCCCCGAATTTGGTGCAGAATCGCCGCGCCGTTACGGAGATGTGGCCGTTCAAAATTTCAATGGTTTTCCATAGACTTAAGCTTTAAAGCGTTTCATCCAGGTCGCCAGTAGCAAACAATGGAGCGTGCTCTGCTGGACAAACTAAGTAATTACACCATTTCAAGCATTTTATCTGCATTATATGTTCTGTAAAAAAAATGTTCATATTGGTGGCATATCTGCGACATATTTGCCGATACCGATATATTGGCGACAGGTTCATATCGACCGATAATATCGGCAAAACGATATATCGGTCGGGCTCTAGTAAAAAGACTATGTCGATTAGCAATGGATTATAAATATACTTAATTATGATGAAAATACCAAAGATGGCTTGAATAACACAGATAAACTATACATTGTCGCAGTCGAGTGTTTGTCTTTTTATCATTCAAAACGTTATCATTCAAAACGAGTAATCTTCTGTTTACTCAGTTACAGTGATAGCAATGCATTTGTCCATATTAGCAAAGAGTATAGGGATTTCCTGAGTCCTATTCCTTCTGTGATGCACATGTGGAGTTTCTGTGCGAGGGCGCCCTCTGGCGTCCAGTATGAATGAAACAGACATTAAATGTGTTTATAGCGCTCAATAATGGCCAATCCATCCTATTTTGGGTATTTTTATTTATTTATTTTTTAAAGTATCGGTTCAGGCACCGTTTAGGCACCGGTACCATTTTAAAAGTATAGATTTGGCACCGGTATTGTAAAAAAACCCAAACGATACCCAACCCTAATTGACGATGTCTCGTAAGTATCGCAATGTCGATGTCAACAGTCAGGTAACAGACGATTATCAGGGAAAAAAATGACAAATAATAAAACTAGTAAGTTGCCAAAATTATTTTACATAGCCCCATAGTCACCATACAGGTCTCTTTGCATGCAAGAATGAAATCATTTCTATCGTAGGGGGGTTGGGAATCAAAAAGCTATTCCAATTGGGAAATCAGGAAGTCAGGAATCGAATGACTTGTTATAAAATTTAATTTCGATTCTGTTTCTCGATTCCTGTATGTGCATTTAATGTGATGTGCACCGGGCGACGCGAATGACGCGAAATGCGTGACGCGTTTGCCGCGAATGCACGATATTCGCCTCAATCGCGTCTTCCGCGCAAGTTAAAAAATTTCAACTCGAGCGGAAAATTCGCATGACGCGTTCTCGCGCAAGCCAATCAGCGAAGAGTTTCTTGACACGTCCAGTTGAATCAGACAATGGAAGAGAGCATTATTGCAGCCGTCTGTTATTATATAGGTCTGGAGCATAGAAAACAATTAAAATCAGTTGTAGTGGTAGTTGTATTTTATTAGGATGACTACAGAGATGCTGCTATCAATAATAAAAATAATAGTAATATCAGTGTATATATACAGTAGTAAAATGTAACAAACACATTAATACAGGATCCTAACGTTATTCATCCTCCTCTGGATGGTGCTGTGAACCCAGACACGTCGGCGTTTGGCTTTCCATTGTATTTGGGACTTTTTGACAACAGGTACAAAACAGCGATTGTAGTTATCTCCACCATGGTTGATCGCGCTGTTTTTATTCGCACGAGTGACACGAAAAACATCCCGCGAGTAATCTAGAGTGAGTGACGCGATGCGCATATTTGCTTCACGTCTGGTGTGAACACACCATTAGTTAATCTAGTAGTATTTGCTGTGGTATCAAAGAAGTACTTCGCTTTAAGGAATAAATGGAAAGTAAGTTAAATTTAAATATTTTTCTTTTCTTGCTGATCCAAAAAATGATCTGATCCGTGGGTCAAAAACCGTAATGTGATCCGAAATAGTCGTATTTATTTTTTAACATGCAAAAATTTCAGACGAGAATTTCAGACTTAGTGTGCAATGACCTTAAGAATGATGCATGTTGCGCAGCTGACACAGAACAGCATACGTTGTTTACGTTCAGTGGATACTCTCCAAAATGGCTCCAGGGTGACGCAGAGGAGACGAATTGTTGAATAAAGT